GGTAAAGGTAAAGAGAAGGAAGGAAAGGTGGAAAGGGAAGGGGAAGGACCTGGTCTTCCAGGCCCGAGCCACTTCAAATAGAAGATACAAAAAATGCAAAGAAGAGAAGGGAAGGGAAAGGAGAAAGGGTGGGGAAAGGGGGAAGGAGGAAGGCAGGAGGAAAGAAGCAGAAGGGAAGGGAGAATTTGAGAAGGGGAGGGGGAAGGAGGTAAAGGAAAGGAAGGTAAAGGTATAGAGAAGGAAGGAAAGGTGGAAAGGGAAGGGGACGGTCCTGGTCCTCCAGGCCCGAGCCACTTCAAATAGAAGATACAAAAAATGCAAAGAAGAGAAGGGAAGGGAAAGGAGAAAGGGTGGGGAAAGGGGGAAGGAGGAAGGCAGGGGGAGAAGCAGAAGGGAAGGGAGAATCTAAGAAGGGGGAAGGAGGTAAAGGAAAGTAAAGGTAAAGAGAAGGAAGGACAGGTGGAAAGGGAAGGGAAGGCCCTGGTCTTCCAGGCCGAAAGGAGAAAGGAGACAGGAACTGGCTACTTTTTACACTTTTTTTCTACACTTTAAAAAATAACTAGCTACTTTTTCTACACTTTTGGGGTTCTTTAGCAAGTGGCCTGGGTTCACCCTCAAAAAAGGCTCTTCCAGGCCACTTGTCTTTTTCTACACTTTTTCTCCTCAATTTCTCAAAATTGTACTCAATTTTTACAATTTTTTCTTCAAACAAGTCTCTGTCGGGTCTCTGTCGGGTCGGGATGCGACCCGGTGACGTCTCTGAGCTCAAAAAAGACGCGACAATTTTAACGCATGTTTTTTACCTTTTTGGAGGGCTGCGCTCTCTGTGTCTATTCCCCTTAACGGGTCCATCGCTCGGCCCGGCGCTGTGAGCTGGTTCACCGGGAGCTTCCTTGCAGAACTTTCTCTTCTCCAGGGAGGGAGGGAGGGAGAGAGCGAGAAAGAGTGAGAGCGCAAGGGAAAGAGAGCGGGCGGCTCATGTGCATTTTGTGCCAAAAATACTATTTCTTCTATTTGAAGACCTGTTGGTGAGCACGTTTATCAACCTGTTATCTTGACGCCTTTCTTCTATTTGTCCCGGAACCCTGCCACGGGAGGAATATGCAGACTTCTATTTGAAAATATGTTTTAATATCTTCTATCCTAAATTGACGTACTATAACAATACAGAGGTGTAGAGGTCCACGAACGTCCAACCCTTTGAGCCTCAAGCAACTGGGATCCAGTGGGTCAAAGTGCCGCGTTTTCGATGGTATATCATTGCCGAGGTCGAGGACGCCAGCGGATAGAAGGGAGTGCCGGACTGCAGAAGTCCATATATTACACAGACACTCCATGGGACTGCCTTAATATGCCTATATATTTAGATATACATTGGGATGGTTTCAGGGGTCGTATATGTAAACATGGCAGTCCCATGGAGTGTTTGGGATATCATAAACCCTAGGGCTCCTGGCCCATATCCTCAGGTTCGGTGGTTAGACCCCCCGCGCACCCACCCCTGGCCCACCTTCGAAACGGAGGTGGGCCAGGAGCCCTAGGGAAATGTATGTTTTGATGATGTCGTTTTGTGGATCAGTTCCTCGGGCACTTTGGGGAGAAGAAGGATGTCGCTTCTGCCACCGGTATGGCGCGAGCGATGAGAGGCCCGGGCTGGTGAGGGGTCCTCGAGTCCTCCATGGTCCATGTGTAAAGGAAGTGCCGGTGCTTGTATTGGCATTGCAGGACTCTCAAGCCTGGCTTAGACTCAGAATCTGTCTTCGAGTCAAAGGCCCCTATTTCCTCAGCATCCTCCTCCTGCCCGTCCTCCACCTCTGAGTCCAGTTACCAATGAAAAAGATAATAAGCAGGACGGAACCCCCAAGGAAACATGCCCTTAAGTCCGCCTAAGTCCATTCGTTCCGCCTGACTCTTGGTTGGTTCCCAAGGAGTCCGACCACCTGGTGGTGCGACTTCCAGCGTGATCGGCCTCCAGCTACAGAGGATGAGGAAGATCCAGTGGCACCGAAGATCTACGAGCTCCTTGGAGACCGGCCCCAGCAGAACCGACCATCCAGACCGGGGACCCCAAGGTGTCGCCATCTCTCGGGCGGCCGAGACTGGTCTTCGGATGTCTTTGGACTCTAGTAACTCTAGTAGTGTGAGACAAAGATCAAGAGATAGATTGATGACAGGGCTCCAGTCGCCCCGAACTCGTTTCCTGTTCCTTTCATAAAATGGATAGGGGGGGTTGTTGTGAGAGGCAGTCAGACCTGAGAGGAGCTAGGTACCTCCCAGGTACCACTGGGACAGAGAGGGGATCGATCGAAGGACTGTTTGAGAGATATGGGGGGATCGAAGACCTGAGTGACCCCTGCTGAGCCGAAAAACAATTTTTTCCTGCAGGTCATGGTCGTGCTTGTTTGGGTTACAGTCCTTGACCTGAAATGAATGCCCTGTTTCTCCACCCCTTTCTCGACGAGTGGCAGCGCAGGAGAAGGAGACCTATATAAAAGCAGGGTCCTCCATCCTCAGGCCCTAGGGATCCAAGTACCTTCTCACAAGGTACTTGGACCCTCCTGGCACCTACATAACAGTGTCTCCAATCACATTCTGAGAAGGTACTTGGATCCCTAGGGAGGGATTTCGGCTCTTTTGTGATCCAGCCACTCAGGCCGGTGTCATCCCTGGCCGATGTGTGCCGAAAGGCCTACGAGCAGCTTGGAAAAGCCTACGTGCGGTCAAGGGGGGAAGGTACAAGACCTGGCTGTTAAGCATGGAACATCCACCTTCAAACAGAGGCCAACCTCCAGACCTCCAGTGCCTATAGTCTGAGGTATTTGGCCAGGTTCAACGAGAAGAACCCTGCCAAGAACATGAATTTGGTGCTTTTCGAAGATGCCTTGATGCATTTGATGCGCATCAACCGCACCATTCAGCAGAAGCGGGGCAGCGCCATGCTGGTGGGCGTGGGCGGCAGTGGCAAGCAGTCCTTGACTCGACTGGCCGCGTTCATCTCGGGGCACCACATTTTCCAAATCACCATCACCAAGACCTATGGAGAGGTCCAGTTCTTGGAAGACTTGAAGGAGCTGTTACTCCAAAAAACTGGCATGGTCTTTGTCTGTAGTTTATTAATAATAATTGTCACATTCCTCTATAGTCGTGTATATACATATATACTGATCATGATGTAGATATTATATATATCTTAATATTGGATAATGATGTTAAAATCACTGATAATGATATATATATATATATGTATACATATACGGATAATGATTAGACAACAGCTGGCTTCAGACATTTGGCACCAAAAAAACGGTGGATTCAGAGTCGTCCTGTTTTCCTTGGCCGTTCGATCGTCTTCCAGTCTCTTCTTCGACAGGGCGTTCGGTCTCCGTCCCGTTCGGGCGCTGAAAGAGCCGCTGCCAAGGTTTATCATCGCTGGACAGAAGGATGAGGATGTGACCTTTATTTTCACGGACCAAGATGCCCGGAGCGTTCTACTAGGAGTTCCAAATCGGGGTGTCATAGATAGACCCTCACTGGGCGGCGCCTCCGTGGTGGGCACCCCTTTGGAACTGCTGGTGTTGTTAATTTTTCTTTCTTTTCTTCGCACGGCACTCACCAATCCGGAGTCATGCAGGGGGACATGACTCCAGTTCCAGTTGATACATGTGAGGAACCCATAGATCAGCCCCGTTGCACCTGTATACTGGTCCAGTTCAGCCCCAGGATGTAATCAATGAGAACTTCCTTGAGATCATGAACTCCATCTTGGCCACAGGGGAAGTGGTGGGTTTACTCCAGAAGGATGAGAAGGAGGCGGTGTGCAATGAGGTGAGGAATGACTTCGCTTCCGATTATCCTGGGCAAGAGGAAAACACCACCAATCTCTACAACTACTTCCTCAACCGGCTCCGAGACAACTTGCACATTGTCCTTTTCTTCTCACCTCTCCATCACAAGTTCGCGATCCGCGCGCAGATGTTCCCTGCCGTGTTCTCGGGCGTGAATATCAACTGGTTCTTGCCCTGGCCGGAAGAAGCCTTAGTGGCCGTCGCTCATGTACCAACAAGTCGCAGATTGTTTTGGTGATTTCCACCCTTTGCATCTCCATTTGGGTGGCTTTTTGTCAGTCAATACACTTGTAAGGCTCTTATATGCACTCAAAACATTTATGTATACAGTACAGTACTGTATATTACTCTGTATATTGTATGTATATATATATAGCCCATTTGACCCTTGTTTTGATAGGCTAAAGACCCTATTGTGGGTGGTTGGTGATCCAGAATAGAGGTCACTCGGGGCACCTGGTATATACCGAAATAACCTGCTTGACCAGGCGAATCCCTGGGTCCAATGCACTTGATGGTAAACCGGATGACTAGGGACTATGGGGACATGTTTTCAGCGAACTTTAACAGGGAAAGCAAGTGAGACTGAGACGGGTACATACATTTAAACATATATATATATGTATAATATACTGTATAACTGTATATTGTATATATTATGCAACGGCGCTTGATGATTGTTGGGACCTGATACAGATTTCAGTCCTGCTTTTGTGGGCTTACCACCTCCAAAGAAAGCCAGAAAGTTGACCAACTGTTCAGGGGCTTTCTGATTCAGGTCAGTGCGAACTTCCTGAAGAACTTCAAGATCGACACCACCGAGGAGAACCGCAATCGCCTCTACGAACTCATGGCCTCCTTTCAGAATCGCATCAGTGACGTGTCCAAGGTCTACCTCTCGCGCATGCGGAAGCACGTCTATGTCACGCCCAAGAGCTTCTTGTGCTTCATTGAGCTCCTTGGGCTGCAGGGTGATCCCAAAACCCCGCCCCTGACGGGCTGGCCATGTTCTTCCCATCCATGAATTCCAGCTTCCGGGTCGAGTCCCTAAAGCTTCATCTCTTTCGGTGTCCGGCCTGTCCAGGCTGTGCTGTCCTGTCCCCCCGGGAGGTACTACAAGAAGCTCTACGCATCGAAGTATGAGGACGTCAATGTACAAGAGAAGAGCGCCACCCGGCGCCACGACGACCCCATGCGCGGAGGGCGCGATGCCACAAGGTGAGTGTTGTGAAGCAAATGATTATAATGAGTGGGACTCCGGAAGATCCTTTGTTGTGCTTGTGTACTGTGTACGTGCATGAGTTTTGATATTTTGGGATGCACCCTGGCAACGCAGCAACATGAACAATCCCTAGGGATCCAAGTACCTTCTCAGAACGTGATTGGAGACACTGTTATGTAGGTTTGGAGGATCCAAGTGCCTTGTGAGAAGGTACTTGGATCCCTAGGGAATACCTATATATAAAGATTATAAAGGCCTATAGAGCTTCGTTTGCCACCACTTTTCCCAACACCAGTTGCCTTCTGCTGCGTCCTGCAGCAGTTTTCACTGAACACAGTGGTGGTGTGGAGACAGCTCAGTCTGAGACATGCAGCGAGCGGGCCAGGTCCCTTGACACTTCATGGGATTGATCCTCATTGAGGTGCATACTTGTGATTTGTCTATAGCCTCTATCGCCTAATGTAGGTGAATATGTCTATGAGGGAGGGGTCAGGAGATGTATGATTTTTATGTGGCATACTCCTGAAACCACCCCATCGTAGGTGTATATATATATATATTATATATATGCCATATTGACATAGGAATGGCCAGATCGAAGTGGTGCGCTTGTTGCCCGAAGCTGATAATGACAAGAATGCGGTAAAGACAGATGGGACAACCCCTTTGATGGGTGCAGCTCACAATGGCCACTTGGAAGTGGTGCGGTTGTTGCTCGAGGCTGGAGCTGACAAGAATGCTGCAACTGGAGGTGGGGCAACTGCTTTGATGGGTGCAGCTCAGAAAGGCCACTTGGAAGTGGTGCGGTTGTTGCTCGGGGCTGCAGCTGACAAGAATTTTGCAACTGGAGATGTGGCAACCGCTTTGATGCTTGCGGTTAGGAATGGCCACTTGGAAGTGGTGCGGTTGTTGCTCGAAGCTGATGCTGAAACGAATGTGGCAGGGGACAGGTGGGGCAGCCGCTTTGATGCTTGCGGCTAGGAATGGCCACTTGGAAGTGGTTCGGTTGTTGCTCGAAGCTGATTTTGAAACGAATGTGGCAGGGACAGATGGGGCAACCGCTTTGATGCTTGCGGCTAGGAATGGCCACTGGGAAGTGGTCCAATTGTTACTTTTGGAGCTGACAAGAATGCGGTAAACGAACTCCGGACATGGGGCAACCGCCTTGATGCTTGCATGGAGCTCACAGGCATGTGGCAAGGGCAGATTGGACAACGGCCGTAACGTTTGCTGTGCAGAACGGGCACCGGGAAGTGATGGATTTGTGCCACTAAGATTTCCAAACAGTTTCATGGCATGCCTGCAGATTTAAAAGATGGTGCACACTGTTGAAAAACAAAGTTTTCCAGGATCTTTGACCGATCTCGTGCCATTTCCCCTTCCATAGTCATTTGGGTCTTGGAGCCCAATGTCCCACATCGATGTCACAAAGACTGCATCACCGGAGATCTTTTCCTTTTTTGGAGCTCTTTGGATAGCCGCCCTCTGAGGTGAACATTGGGCTTCGCAAGCTCGAGGAGGCAGCGAAGAGCGTGCTGGACATGCAGGATGACATCGAACGCCAGGACGGCCTGGAGATGCGGTCGGAAGACACATGGAGCTGGAGATGGGGCATGCTGGCTGCCGGTGCCGGAGCCACAAAGGGCCCACAAAGAGCCCACGTTTAGCATGGTTTTGTGCTGTAATTACTGACTGGACCGCATGGAATCCCGGAAACCACGTCGGGGTGTAGAGGAAGATGGTCTTCCACTGGGTCAATTCTCAGGCTCCATGTTAGTTTGCGGATAGGTTTGTATATATATATATACATAGATATGATATTATCAGTAAGTACATATTGTTATTGGTGCACATATAGAACTATTGGTCAGACGTTTGTTGGATATGGGGTTCCATATGTAGTTCCACCCTTGAATTTTAGGTGTGCATTGATTTGCAGCGGGCATATATATATTATATCATCTGCAGCAGCAAACCACCCCCCGGCCCGGCGGGTACACCAACAGGTCGACCCCGGTGGTGAACGGCGTCTTTACGCGTCTTTCGCGAAGACGACCGTATGCCGACGTGTGGGAAGTGGGCGGAGTTTTGGGCTGAACAAGGCAAGTCGGTGGTTAACCATGTGTGGCATATGTGTGGTTCGATGCTTCACAGCTCAAGTGCTGAGTCGGTCATTGTCCACTTTCACCAGGAGAAAGTCTTGAAGATGGAAACGGATAAGGTCACTGCACTGGTTCCTTGGCTTCGCTTTCTCGCTTTTGTACGGTTCGGATTTCCGCTCGCCTGCGACAGTTGCCGTCCTGTCCCAATCGTTGAGGGCCCAAACGAGTTTGGTGGGCCCGCGTCCCGGCCGCCATGCTCACCTGACAAGGATGGGCCGGGCCAGATCATCCTAGGAAGGCCTGGCAGTGCTGCACGCCAGGCCTTCCATGGATGGCTTTCGGGCCGATCAATGTCAGGAGCCTATCTCATGATATGGAGGGGCCATACTAGGCCACTCCATATCCCTAAACAGGTTGTGGTTGGTTTTGTTTTTGCTTCCAACACCTGATGTTGCGTTGCTTCGATCCATGGTGTGTCCAACCACTCACCGTCAGCAGATGACACAATGATCTATTATACTTTAGAAGGGAAGGCCTGCGACCTCACCAGCCTCCACTGGGCCCCTGGTCGGAGAAGATGAGATATAGTCGTTACATGTCGTTACAGTGGTTTCAGAGTATATAGATGACACTTAGGATTCGTCGGACTTAGGAGTTGTGACTTAGGATTGTCGGATGTTCGCCAAAAATCGATGTCCTATTTGATGAAGAAAAGTCCTTTTTGACCAATTTTTGGTCCACAACTCCTATCTCACGAAGCTTGGCAAGGCAAAACAGGCACAACGCAAATATTTGTTTGATTCCCTTTTTATGTTTTTGATTCCTTACCCAAATGAACCCATCCAAACCCCAAGACGTGTTTGAGATGCAGGTCCACTGTGACACCACCTGTGTCACTTGGGATCTCTTGTGCCAGTCTACTCTCAATCCAGCCATCAAAATCTATCCCTAGGGATCCAGTCGTACCTTCTCAGAAGGTGATGTGTTCGACACTGTTATGTAGGTGCCAAAACGTCGGGTCCAGTCGTACCTTGTGAGGTTCGGTACGACTGGATCCCTATGGATCTCAATCCACTATATCCTTCGCTCCCACCTTCTTCACGACGCGACACGGTCCGGTGTCGCGACACCGAAGCGACACACCCCGGTGAGGTGAAGAAGGTCCACGGAGAGAAGCAGAACGCGGAGGAAAAAGCTGAAGAGGTGAGGGCAGAAGATGGCTTCGAGGGCAGATTGGGCAGAAAAAGAGATACCACAAAGACTGAAGATGGGGCCCGACATTTGTAGGGTATACATCTGGAAATCATTGCCCTCAGTCGTTTTGACCTCAGATGTCTCACCCACGTCCCTCAACAGCTCCCCATGGCTTAGGGGAACCAAGCCACCTCACTCCTCACTCCTCACTGCTCGGCACCTCCGGGTCCTGCGGCCTCGACCGGTCGAGCGGTTCCGAGCCGCAGGTGGGCAGCATCGCCAAGACCTGCGAGGACAATGCCATGGCCATCGACGCGGATCGCCAAGACGCTCGGGCCGGCGCAGAGCTGCGGTCCGCGGCGCGGGCGGTCTGGCGGAGCTGCGGGGTCGGTGGCACTGAGAACTCGTGTGAAGCCACGCGATTCAGACAGAACAATCATGGGTTCTTTCTGCGTGGGTTGCGTAGGAAGATCAGACCAATTGGGCTGTCTGACGAACAGAAAAGGAACGGTGGGTGGGAGGGGGCGATTGCTGCAGGGTTTGGTGTTTGTAAATCGCGCGCGATGTGCGTGGGACTTCTGTTATTCAGTATGCCGTTATTTAAGGAAGGACACACATAATTACCTCCTCCTGCATCCTCAAAGCCATGAGGCTGAACCGCCGGAAGACACTGGAATAAATTTGGGAAGAGCACGTTCCCATTGCTCATATAGGTTTGATAACTCTTCAGAAGGCATTGATTTTACCATGAATTTACTCTGACGACAGTAGGTTCAGGTACCACCTGCCAAGGAATCTCCAATTGGGCCCCCACCTAGTCACCACCTCGAAGGGAGGAAAGATATCGTATCTTAGACTTTAAGGATGTCAGGCCGGCTTTTGACAACACAGCCGTAATTGATGGGCTGAGGTGCGTCGTCATCGCCCCGCTAGAGGGTGAAACGGATGCTCGCGCGTTATAACGCGTGGAACATCGACATACAGTTGATTAAAGGAAGCCCCATCTCTTACAAGGGGGCACGTAAATAGCCAAGCCTCCCGGGCCAAACAATGTATATTTAAGTATATCGCCTTATCGCGGTTTTCTCATCGCACCATGTGAGTAGGTCACCATGTCCGGTTGGCCTTCTGGGTTTCACATCGCGCCGAGGAAGCCAATCGGGAGCTACAGGAGGCCTTGCCCTACCTGCCACTTGTCCAGTGGGATGCTGGAATCGGCCCAGCTGGTACTTTTTGGCAGCAACCCGCTCAACAGCATTGAAGATCCAAAAGCTGGTGTTCGCATGGTTTCACTATCTAACAGTGGCTTTGGTAGGTGAACACCAGTGTGAACACCTCCAGCCTGCGTGTTTCGATGTTTTTACTTTCGTACCATCCAACTACCCAACCTTTGGCACACTGGTCGGTGCTTGGGCATGGCATCTTCCAAGTCACGAAAGCTAGCCTTAGCTAGCTGGAGTTGCTCTTGCTTTAGCAAGTTAAGTGACGGGGTGGACGCACCTCAGAAACCTCAAATAATTGATTAAATCAATCTTATGGACCCCCCCCCCCCCGCGGTTCGACTCCCCCCTGCGCGCGGTGAGCGGGACCACCAAGCAGCTGCAGCACACCAAGCATCTGCAGCGCCCAGCGCAGCAGCGGCAGCAGCGGCAGCAGCAGCAGCAGCAGCACCAGCAGCAGCAGCAGACCACCCAGCGGCGGCAGCAGCAGCGGCAGCAGCATACCCAACGCCGCGGCAGCAGCAGCCGCAGCAGACCACCCAGCGCCAGCAGCAGCAGCAGCAGCAGACGACCCGGCGCCTGCAGAGCAGCAGCAGCACCAGCAGCAGCAGCACCAGCAGCAGACCACCGGAAGCCCGGCTAGCTTTCGTTCACCCCCTCTGGCCTCAAGTGATGTATCAGATGCCAACTGGTGGTCCATTTCCCTGGCAGTTTCTGGGCGGGAAGCCGTCCTGAGGGGTGAAGCCTGCAAGTTCGCACCTGGCTGCCAGCTGGGCCCCATCCGCACCGGTGGAAACTCACCGCAGGCATGAGGCGAACGCAGCTTGCCAGTCCATCAAAGACAAGGTGAGGCAGTGACGATCGCACTGAGTCGGTCTGAGATGATGGTTGAGGTGGCAGGTGTGGCAGGGGGCGAACCCAGATGTGAGCCACCGAGAAGTTCGCAGGGAAGGGGAAGACTGGCATCGTTTTGAATGGGAAAAAAGGGGGTCATTTGGCATCTCTTGCAAACTGACGTTTTGCAGGTCCAGGTACAATCAGACGGTCCAACCAGTACAACTGATTCACAGGTCGGACACCCTGCTGTGAAGGTTAGAGCAGGTATAGCAGCTTTTATTACGTGCCCAAATGATGGAAGCTAGAGCGGGGAACCTGGGCACAAGTCGCAGATGAAACTGGATCCAGTCAAGCTCATGATGTACTTGCTGTACACAAGATGGTGGAGCTAGGTAGGAGCACTCGTTGGACACCATGGAAGATGTCCAGGAAGGAAGACCAAAAAGACACAAGCTGTAAGAGCATACAGTGGCTACTGTTCTTTCGCTGGTTTCTGGATGTTTCGTGTAAATCGGAGTTGGGGCGCAGCCTCCCCAAGCCCTCCGCGTTCCGAACAGGACATCGTGGAACTGAAGGGCAACAAGGCTCCCGTGGACATCGTGAAATTGACCTTCGACGGTTTGTTGCTCTTGATGGGGCACAAGGTCACAGAGGTGAAGGTGGAAGACAAGCTCATCAACAAGGTCTCAGGCACCTTCATCAAGGACCGAGGGTTGGACGCAGGCGAGACTCGGGTGCTGAGTGAGACCTTCCTCATCCAAGGGAACCTCGCCAGGAGTTTTGGGTGGGCGAGTTAGCGAGTTGTTCCCTCTGAAAAGGGAGTGGATACAAACATACAGCAACATACCCCGCCCATCCCCGTCCATCCTTTGATGTGTTTTGCCTCGTGGTGCGAGGCAAGATTCACGACATGGGGATGCATCATGTATTTTGGGGAAGGACGCCATTGGAGCAGCCCCAGAACTTCTGTGAAGCATCATGTGAAATCTACACTCTGGAAGACTAACACGCAAACCCAGAACCACCTTATTGTTGTAGAGGAAACGCGTCATCCAAAGGTCCATCTCCAGGTTCCATGTTAATCTTTCCGGGTGCAAAGCATGCTGGCCTGCCATGCCACTTTGCGTTTGCCACGCAAAGAGGACAACAGGAAGCAGAAACCAAGCTCAACTGGGGATGATATCCAAACCAGGGGTCGGAAAAAGAGATATACCATGCATAGCGCACACAATTTGAGCATTCTTGTGTTTATCGGGTTTCTATCACCACTATTAAATCAACCAAAACATTACAATACATGTTTCGGCTACTTGCACAGTCCACCCACATGTTTTGCACAGTCCGTCGCTCACATCTTTGGCAGGATTCCTTCGATGAGCATGCGAAGGCTGTGTTGAACGACATGAACTTTTTGAGGAACCTCAAGAGGTGGGGCCCTTCAAAGGAAGCTAACATCTTGGATTGAGAGTAGATGACACAAAAGGGCCTCCAAGTTAGGAGGTATATGAAACCCCATCGAAAGGACATCTGGGCTTTGTGCCATTTACGTGCCATTCACTCTGAAAACCCTGTAAAAGCTCCTTGGACTCACAATGTTTCAACATCAGCATCACCCAAGTTTCTTGACGTGTGCTTTATGTGCCTCAACGCAACTCCCACAACGCGGCCCAGCTGTGACACGCTGCTCCGCCTTAAAAATGGCCGGGCTGATTCTTCCGAACAGATTTCCTCCTCGCGGCCTGCGCTGAGGTTTGCGGAGAATGATCGCGACACCATCAATGATGAGACCTGCGAGCTCATCGAGCCCTACTTGCGCTTCGACCCGGATCCCAACAAGAGCTGGGGCCCTTGGAAACACGCTGCCCCTTGGCAACGAAAAAGCCGGCGTGCCAGGATTCCGCTGGACATCAACGAAAAGAACACGTGTTCTACATGTGTTGAACCCTTTGATACCTGTTGCTTCTTGCGCGAGAAATGGAGGCCAATGGGACAGGAAATGACTGGAATGTATTCTATATGATTCTATCATTGTTTAGCTATAGTTGCCGTATATATGTATTACTTATATTACTATATGATGATACAATTCGTACATATTAATAGGCTATAAAGGTGCATCTCATTTCTTAGAAGATCTCGACGCACTCTCCGTTGAGGTGCTGGATCAAAGCTTGGCCAAGAAAGCCAACGCAGCTGCTGAGGGGCTCTGTAAGTTCGTGGGTGCCATGGCGTCTCAGCTGCAGAGCTGGTCGCAGAATCCTCGAACCCGAGCCCCTTTCAGAAGGAGAAGATGGGAACTGGGTTTGGACAATCCATCCCCACTTTTTGGAGAGTCTAGTTGGGGAAATCGAAAGGGAAATCGCCAACCCACACGGAGGGTGAAACCACTGTGATCGTGTTCTCGAATTCTCGCCACGTTTAGCCCCTCCTCACACTGTGGTCCTCAAGAAGGTGACCGGTCACCTACCAGGTCCTCAATGCCAATGCCTTGCGCAGTGTTTCCTGTGGGGCTTTGTTTGGTTGGTGCCGACCGGACCGGCGCTGAACACCCAAGCGAGTTCGACCAGCGCTGGAACCCATGGTTTGGGTTCCAAAACCATGGGTTGAAGGACTCCCCCGTCTCCCGTCTCGCAGATTGGACCACCATCATGCCACACATTGCAGACCAGATCCATGGGCCCTGCATGTGGTTCCTATTCAGTCACCATGTCGTACAACATCGTAAAACTCTTCCTGCACCATCAGGATCATCAGGGAAGTTGGGCCAAGGTCATGCATAGTGGTCCCCAATAGATAGCGGCACGGTTTCCAATACATTCTAAAAAGTGGACATTCCACTTTTTCCATCTCTTTCGCTGTCCAGAGCTAGGCCCTTGCCACCTCTGGAGCCTTGCCTTCCCTCCAGGTGATGTACCATGAAGCCTCCAAGATCGTGAAGCCCAAGATGGACTTCTTGAAGGCACGTCGCCCGCGCTCGCGCGGTATACCCTCGGTGTTCCGCTGACCTCCGCTTTGGAACGGGTTCGCAGATGTCCCGAACATCCCAGACCTAGTCCAGGTGCAAACCTGGTCCTGAAAACCTCATCCTGCAGCATGATGGTCACTCCAGCTCAATGAGGTCAAGCTGACACTAGTACTATCTAGTACGGTAGCGGTAGGATCTACAGGGTGGACTCGACCCGGCTTGTTCTCCGGTTCTCTCCAGCTGTTTGTCAGGTGCAAGAAGCCAAGCTGGAGAAGGCGCGTGGGGAGTTGGCCGAGGCGGAGGCGGAGCTCCACAAGGTGCAGAGCGAAGTGGCTGAGTGCCGCGGCCGGAAAACAGGTGACGAGCGTGGGGTGACGAGCGTGGGGTCTTCAGTATGATGTGGTGCGATGTGGCTGGGGCCCGTTGGACTTCTGGGCACTGCGAAGGATTTGGGTGGTGTGTGGTGGAGTATGTTCTGAGTCACCCTGGGAAGTTGCATCCTTTGTTTTTGTCCCTAACTTTGTTTGGCGCATTGATTCGGGGTCTTTGTATTCCAGGGCCAGCATCAAACTTTTGAAGCCTGGAGCCTGGGTACATGGCACAAGTAGTGTGCACAAGTGGTTCTTCAGAACTGTGAATTGTAGGTCGTTTGTTTGGATGTTTGTTGGGGTCGCATACAGGAGTTCAGCAGAGGGTCTGTCTGGGGCCATGCATGTCCATGCGTCCTGCGTCCTCGATAAGTTCAGCAAAGCCTTGATAAGTGGTCTCTAAAGAGATAGAAAAGTAGATCCCCACCAAACATGTATTGGAAACATTTGGAAACTATTTCATTTGGCGACTACCACGCGTGGGGTCAAAGCTGACCCCGCACCTACCTAAGTCCTCTCAGCAAGCCAGAAGTTTTCTGGTAGATACCCTCCCACGCTCCCAGATTGCCACACGTCACAACCGCCAACAGCAACCATGACCGCGCCACTTTAGTAGAGAGTTGAGTTTAGGGAGGTTGGCCGAAACCTGAAAAAGAGGTAGGCCCCCAAAGCCATATGCCAGTTTGAATCCAGTTTTTGAATCTTCTTGTGGGTATACCGGTATGTTCAGTTATGCTATGCTATGTTGAAAGTGTGGTTGTGGCTCGAAACAAGGGCCTCCAAAAGCGATTGCCTTGCTGAATCCCGTCCAAGAAGCGTTCACCAGCGCAGGCAGATGCTTAGGCTTTGGCATTTTTGTCTGATCCCCAACAACGCCCCAAAAACGCGCATGTGAAATCGTTCATTGGTTTCTCAGGCAATAGATGAGAAAGAAAAACGCTAGCAATCCCCCATCAACGATAACTAATGTAGACTCTTGATATCTCTTGATTATATAATAACTCCCTATTTGAATTGGATATCCTCTTCATATGGGGGGTTTATGAATCAAGAGTCTACATTAACCTTAAAACTTCCACCAATTGGGGTCGCTCACCTGGAGCTTGCCGGTCGCTCACCTGGAGCTTGCCGGT